CGGGGAGGGTCTCTCCCGAGGCCTCGTTGACACGGAGGCCAAGGCTGGAGAAGCACTCCCGCGGGGCAGGAGCGTGAGAAGACCCGCGGGTCGGCAGATCTGATGCCCCGCAGCTGGGAGCCATGGCCGCCTCCGGGGTCAGTGCTGCGCGAAAGGCCCTGATGTTAAACGTTTGATTTTGTTTGAAAGGTCGGAGCACAAAGGTAGAGAGCACAGGAAAAGGCCCCACGCCCCTCGCCAGCTTCCCTCACGGCTCACATGTTGCCTTTGTTTTGAAGTATGTTTTCATATATGTGTGTTTCACCCCCCCCACCCCCACCCACCGCACGCACCTCCCCCACTTTTGTGTCCTTTCGTTTCTGGAGTGATCTTAAATCATCCCAGCAGACATTGCACCTTTAACTACTTGAATACGGTTACCTAACTAACAAGGTCTATTTTTAAGACATGACCATATGTTATCACAACTAAGAAAACACAATCTCAATTCGCTTCATTTTTTCCTAGTTGATTTAACAATGTCTTTTCAGAGTTGTGCTTTCCAAACAGGATGCAAAAAGAGCTGGGAGATCTTACAGCAGGGGGCATGAGGCCTGCTCATGCACACAGCCAGAGTGAGGCTGACCAGAGGGGGGGCCAAGGCGTAGGACATGGCAAGAACAGATGCAAGTCATATCCGTCACCAGGCTCATCAGCACCTGTGCACACACATGCCCTGAACTGTTTTTCTGCCAGTGTGCAGCCCTGGTGACTTTGGTGGGATGTCCTCTGCCCTCCCCAGGGAGCCAGGAGTCATGTCTACACGGTCCTCCAGTGATGTGGGACTGGGAGTTCCCAATGGCCCCAAGCTCACTTCTAGGATGAGTTCCCAAATCAGCACTCCCCAATATGACTACTTTGGGGCAGTGCCTGTCCCATCCCACAGGGCCACACTGAACTCCAGGAGTCCCAGAGTTCTGCATTTGAATTCAGCCTCACAGATGGCAACGAAGGTATATTTGTCAGGACCAGAGAAGAGAACAAACTGTACCTGTGGTTGGTTTTATTTATGTCTTCCGTATGTATACATACGTTTTGTGTACTTCCACCGAGACTCTTGCCCTGGGCTCTGTAAATTTTAAGATGGGCCTGTCTGGTTTCAGTAGCATATGTACAAAAAACATTTTATTTTTTTTCTTAACTCTAATGCAAGGAAAACCGGCAAAAGTATAATGATAAATAGCAACTAACAATTGAACTTCAGTAGTGGAGAAACCATAGGGAAATGTGAGCACTCTGGAACATGGGACAACCAGCTGAAACTCCCCATGGCATGCTGAACTCTGGATAGAAATAGACTTAAAATTATGCATTGATTGGGCTGCACTACAGCGTTTTCTTTTTACTGAAAGTCAAGTGGCACTAGCCAATAGATAAAATTCCTGACATTAGGATTATAAGACTGTTTAGAATTGATTAGTATTGTTCCTATTGTTGAAGAAAATACTTGCACGAGGATTACATTGGTCGGGCCTAGAAAGACGAGACATCTCCAAGCAAGGTCTTCCAGGTCAAAGGGGATTCAAAGATTTTCTGATTGGCAATTGTCAAAAAGAGTTACATTCTGTCTAAAGAATTAGAAATTCAGCCAGGCTCCATGGCTCAGCCTGTAATCTTGCATCTTGGGAGACTGAGGTGAGTGAATTGCCTGAGTCCATGGGTTCGAGACCCGCCTGGGCAACTTGGTTTGACCTCATCTCTATAATAAATCAAAAAACTAGCCGGGCGTGGTAGCGTGCGCCTGTAATTCCAACTACTTGGAAGGCTGAGGCGGAAGGATTGCCGGAGCCCAGCAGGTCGAGGCTGCGGTGGCCGGGAGCGGCCACTGCACTCCCGCCTGGGTGACAGAGTGAGATTCCAACTCCAAAAAAAAAAAAAAGAATTAGAAATCCATTGGTCAGGTGTGGTGGCTCACAACTGTAATCCCAGCACTTTGGGAGGCCAAGGCAAAAAGATTGCTTGAGTCTGGAAGTTCAAGACCAGCCTGGGCAACACAGTGAGAACTTGTCTTTAAAAAAAAAAATCCAAAACCTAGCCGGGCATGGTGATACACAACTTTAGTCTCAGCTACTCCCACTCGGGAGGCTGAGGCAGAAGCATCGCATGAGTCCAGAAGGTCAAGGCTGTGAGAAGCTGAGCCGTGATGATTGTGCCACTGCACTCCAGCCTGGGCAACAGAGTGAGACCCACACTCAAACAACACAAAACAAAGATAAATTTTGATAAAGCCAAGATTCTTGATATGTAGATGTAGGCTCTAAGTAGCAGGCTTCAGAGAGAATAGCTGGTAAATGCCTTTAAAGATGTCCACCTCCTCTGGGAATCACTGAAAAGAGGATTCTATAGAGATGTAAGTTTTCCCCAGGGTTGCTTCAAAATGTGTCAAAGAAACGTACTTTGAAGTAAAGTAAATTTTCTTTTTTTGTTGTTGTTTTTGTGTTTGGGAGCTTCCTCTAAAAGGCAGACAGGTTTGTTGCGCAGCAGCCAAGAAATCAGTGATTGGACTTGGCCGCACGCTCCATCCGGCTCACCCTTCTTCTCAGTGGCATAGGAGTTGGAGAAGCCCTTGGCGGCACTCACAAGCTCATCTGCCAGGCACTCAGCAATGATCTCGACGTTCTGGAAGGCACCCTCATGGGCATCTGTGCACAGCAACCAGATGACCTGTTTCACACAGGGCAGTGGGGCTACGTCCACAGTCTTCCGTCACTGTCCCAGCTCACCTGATACATGAGAGTCATCCGGGAGCCACCGTCGATGATGGTGTTCACTAGGACCTGCAGAGGGTTCTTGCCTGTGAGCAGGTGGATGGTCTAAAAGCATGCTTGGCGATGCACCCAGTCATGAGCTTCTTGCCGTTGTTGCCGCTCTGCATCATCATGGAGTTAGTGAGGGGCTCCACAATGGGGCACTGGGCTTTGCGGAATCGCTTGGCAGCATACCGCCCTGCACTGTGAAGTACTTGGCATACTTCGCCTTCACTGAGAAGTAATCCTGTAGGAAAATGTCACTGATCTGCACATCACCAGTGCTCCACTTCCCAAAGAGCTTGATGTCAGGGGTCTCTGCCACTGCTGGTGCAGCTGTCTCCCACTCGGTCATCCTGAGGACAAGCCGGAGCACCTCTTTTGTCAGGCATGGACCACACGCTGCCCTGGTTCAGACAGGAAGATAAAGTAAATTTTCTTTAGGGTCTGCTATCTGTCATGTGGTACTCTACCAGACTCAAGTTGACACTCGGTATCTCATTGCCACAGAGTCTGTTTTATGGTCACTATTTTAACGTTAATGCTGGTCTGTTGTGCCTAAAACTCCTTTTTTGTCATGGCTTGGGATTTAGTTTTTCAGGTCTCCTTTGGCCCAGAAGAGGTCTGTTTAGTTGGTTGAGGGGCTTGAAATTTTATTTTCAGTTTACATACAAAATCTCTGACATTAGAATCATAAGGCTTTTACTTAAAGATCATGTTAGATCAGTTGGGGGGTCTGTGGTCCGGTGCTATAGATAAGATGCAAGACCAGAAGAAAATATAGTTTATTTAGAAAGTAGATTGGAGAGAGAGAGAGAAAAGGGGGATCTACCTCCCCCAGACTGGGAAGAGGGCCAGACCTCAAAGAGCAGCATGGCTGGGCCAGAGCTTAACAAAAGCAATGGCCACCACTGCTTGAAGTTGAATGCTTTTTTTTCTTTTTTTGAGTTGGAGTCTCACTTGGTTGCCCAGACTGGAGTGCAGTGGCCGCTCCCGGCCACCGCATCCTCGACCTGCTGGACTCCAGCGATCCTTCCGCCTCACCCTTCCAAGTAGCCAGAATTACAGACATGTGCTACCATGCCCGGCTGATTTTTTGATTTATTGTAGAGATGAGGTCTCGCTGCCCAGGCGGGTCTCGAACCTGCGGGCCCAGGCAATCCACTCACCTCAGCCTCCCAAAGGCGTGGGATTATAGGCTGAGCCACCGAGCCCGGCTGGATGCTTTTTATTTTTATTTTTATTTATTTTACTTATTTTTTTGAGTTGGAGTCTCACTCTGTCACCCAGACTGGAGTGTTGTGGCATGCTCCCGGTCACCGCAGCCTCAACCTGCTGGGGTCTAGCGATCCTTCTACTTCAGCCTTCCAAGTAGCCGAAACTACAGACACATGCTACCACGCCCAGCTAACTTTTTTTAATTTATTTATTATTGTATAGATGAGGTCTCGCCAAGTTGCCCAGGCGGGTCTCAAACCTGTGGGCTCACCGAGTCCAGCTGGATGCTTTTTAAACCTTTCCTTTAATGGGGTAGGTCGTCAAGGTGATTGGGTGGTGGTCTGTTTTGTGTCATCAGAAATGAGACAAGTAAGCACAGGTACTGATGTCACAGTGATGGATGGCAGGCAGATGGGTGGGTTAATCACATGACAGTTGCCATGGTGATGGGATCTGTCTGTGTCATGTAGGTCATGAAGGGCTGATCGGAATAGATTAGGTTAGTTTGGTTTTTTTATGGCTGGAGGCAAATTCTTGGAATAGAAAAGCTAATTAATATAAAACAAACTGGGGAGAGGTTATAAAATAATTATCAATAGCTGCCTCTGGGAAACCCAGTCTGTCCTTGATGAGAGGGCAGGTTCGGCAATTTGCTAAGAAAGCATGACCAAGCTAAGCAGTGTTAAAATGGCTGCACCTTAGCTAAAATCATGTCATTCAATCATTCCATTTTGGCAGTTCACTCTTTCAGACCATTTCAAATGTTTTCCAGACCCCGAATTCAAACAACCAGTTGGGAGACTCCCTTCAAGACTACAGCCTTTGTCTCCCTGTTCCATGACTTCATCCTGCAGTCTTCGACCACTTGACAACCTCCACACTTTGGCCTACTCCAAAACCCTGTAAAACCCTAGTCCTAAACTCTTTGGGGAGATGTAGTTGATGTTTTTTCCCATCTTCTTATTTAGTGGCCCTATGATTAAGCCTCTTTCTCTGCTGCAAGCTGGTGGCTCAGCATATTAACTTGCTGTGTGTATCACGCAATGGACCTATTATGGTTACATAACTGCAGCTCAACTCTAAAGGGCGGTTGCCACACCAGGACACAGGATCCACTTCTCGGGATCCTTGGTAACTACCAAGCAGTATGCACCAGTTCCTGGAAACAGGCTCGTGCCCCAGTGTCTCCTGCTATGTCAGCAGCTGACAGCTGCTCCACATATTGCAAGTGCTGGTTTGGGAGTCCAAACAGTGATTAGCTTTGGCAAAGAGCTGCTGTGCCAGAACTGAAGATAGAATAGACATAAAAGACACTTGCAAATGATACAGCTCCATACAGTGTTCGGGGTTACTGTGAACTGAATTGTGTCCCCCTCCAAATTTATATGTTGGATCTCTAAACCCTAATGTGACTGTATTTGGAGATAGATCTTATAAGGAGGTAATAAAGACTAAGTGAGGTCACAGAGTAGGGCCCTAATTAAATAGGACTGGAGTCCTCAGAGGAGAAGAGAATGAGTCATGAGAGAATGCAGCTCTCCACAAATGCAGTGAGGAAAGACCCCACAAGAAGTTGGCTGTCTGCAAGTCAAGACAGGAGTCTTCACCAGACACACTCCTGCTGGCACCTTGACCTCAGACTTCCAGCCCCCAGAAATGTGAGAAACTTAGTGTTTGTTTAAAGTTCCCAGTCTGTGGTATTTCATTATAAGCTGTCATAAAAGAAGATTAATATTTTCACAGCAAGCTGTCTTTGAGAATGTTTTTAAGCCTCAGTTTTCTCATCTGTAAAGTAGGGGGTAATATTAGTGCCTCCCTCCTAGAAATGAGAATTACATGAAACAATCTTTGTATAGCCCTTAGTATAGTGGCTCACATGTAGTAAAAGCTCAATATGTGTTTGCGGCTGTTATGCTTATTGTTATTCTTTAAGTCTTGATGAGACAAATTGCTAAGGGAAGGATGATTCCAGATGCCTGGTGGGGAGGTTTGAGGGACAGAGAGGATGAGTCAATTAGCTTGCAACTGGCATCCTGAGCCTGAGCTCATGTCTGTTCCTCTGCCACCATAGTGTCCACCCTGTGTTCCCAGACAGTCCCCCTCTTCCCCAAATGGATTTCCTCTTGGCAGTGGCAGCCCTAGCCCAAGGCCAATCAGGTCCCCCCACCCTTCCTTTACTCCTCCACTACTGGCTGGCAGCACCCCTGGGCAGAGGCCTTGTCATCTCCTTACTCAAGCTGACAGCTGCTCTGGGAGTGATACGTGTGGCCTGGCTCCACTAGACTGAGCCCACAAAAGGATGCTAGAGTTTAAGAGCCCTCAGCCTTTCCCACACCAAGCCCACCTCCCCTTGACCTACACCCCATAGTCCCTTCGGAGGCCACAGCCCTCTATAAGGTGGGCTTCCTTCAAGCCTCTGCTCAGGATTGTCCCGCCCTGGGAGCAGACACACCCCTCTGAGTCCCCTCTCTCTCAGCTCCCCTAGCACACAATCGCGATGTATCCAGTTGGATGTTGTTGCCTCTCAGGCTGCGAATACCCCAAGGACAAGAACTCTGTCCATTCCCCTCTGGCCAGCACATCACTAATGCATGGTGGACACTTGCCCTAGGTTGGGACACGCCATGCCCCAGAAGCAATCTTGAGACAAAGTTTCAAGTGCAAGTAGTTAATCTGGGCGATAAACCCATAAAACACTAGTAGAAAGTTGAGGAAGTAAGACAGTTACAGGAAGACAGGCAAAAACATTTTATTCTCAGGCAAGTTACCCCTGGGGACACCTGGAGCTCTGTCTGACCCCTGGGAGCCTCAGAGATATCCTACCTTAAGTGGGAGAGAGCTGGGGTGTTCAAATACCAACTCCCATCAACACTCAGGTAAAGACAGCTCCTAGAGGTCATGAGTCCCCTAGTCTTTCAGTCTGATGTCTGAGAAGCCATCCACAGAATCACCACAGGTGCCAGCAGGTGGGAGTCAGTCAGGCATGCCCCCAGACTGGAAGGTCAGAGGTGTGAGTAGGACACTGGCAGGGACATTTGTTGATAACATGAACAAGTGAGTAGGTGCAGCGACTGAGCGAAAGTATGATTTTCAGGAACCTACTCTGCACTCTGTGCTTTCTCTCTCTCCACTCCCTTTTTTTCAGAAAGTAGGATTTACTGAGAGGACAGAAAAACTCCCAGAGCAGGAGGGGACCCGAGGGGTCTGCCCTTGGCACATCGTTTCTAACCCTCACAGCAAGCCTGCAAGGGAAGTCTCTGCATGCCCTTTTCATGGATGAGAATACTGGGGTTCCAAAGAGTTACTCCATTTGCCCAGGGCTTCACAGCCTTGAGTGACAGAGCAGGGCTACAAACTGTTCTTACTGAGACTTGATGACACTTCTCCTTATGTCAGGCTGCCTCCCTTGGACAAGTGAATTAGTAAACAAACGACTGTCAAGCACATGCTTACTAAGAGAGATGCTCTGGTTGATCTAGTTCCAGTTAAAAGATGACTGCTTTTGGCCAGATGTTGGCTCGTGCCTGTAATCCCAGCACTTCAGGGAGCAAGATAAGATAGTTTTCTGAGTACAGGGGTTCAAGACCAGCCTGGGCCACTTGGCAAGACCCCATCTCTACAATAAATAAAGAAATTAGCCAGGTATGGTGGCATGCACCTGTAATTTCAGCTACTTGGAAGGCTGAGATGGAAAGATCACTTGAGCCCAGCAGGTCGAGGCTGCAGTAGCCATAAACATGCCACTGCAACCAGCCTGGGTGACAGAGTGAGGCTCTAACAAAAAAAAAAAAAGATGGCTGCATTTTTATATTAAATTTATAATATCAAATTTATATATGAAACAGTAAAATTCCAATGAATGAAGTTTGCTCTCATAATTCTTTTTTTTTTTTTTTTTTGAGGCGGAGTCTCACTCTGTTGCCCAGGCTGGAGTTCAGCGGCATGCTCACGGCCACCGCAGCCTCAACCTGATGGACTCAGGCGATCCTTCTACCTCAGCCTTCTAAGTAGCTGGAACTACAGGCACGCACTACCATGCCTGATTTTTTTTTTTAATTGGAGAGATGAAGTCTCACCAAGTTGCCCAGGCTGGTCTCGAACTCCCAGGATCAGGCAATGCTCTCACCTTGGCCTCCCAAAGTGCTGGGATTACAGACTGAGCCACCGCGCCCAGCCAGTCTCT